ACAAGTCACGGGTACAGAATGTCATGACATTCACTACCGGAAATTCAAAATCATCCAGATTCAGAACCATCATAATTCACTGCTAAAAAGAGTCTTTCAAAAAATTTCTGTCCCCATCCCTTCAGGGAACTTCACAACCCAATACTTCTAGACCAGACTTCATTATCCAGGTCATCGTTTCAATTTATCAGTACCTTGGAGCCTTTGGTATTCTCAGTTAGGGTGGTGTCATGTCCATCAATCTCTAGGCTGTTTTCACATTCCCAATTTTCTTTCATCTCTTTCAGTCTTCAAAAAACCTCTATAACTTTACATGGGTGTATAGTGGACACAGACACTTCTTACTTTTGTCAACTGTTACCATGTTTTAACTACAGGAACTGACCTGCCTGCTCATGGCTTGGATGGGCATATGCTTCGCTGGTAAAAAACTGGCTGGAAGGCTGGTCCCAAAGAGTGGTGGTGAATGGAGTTAAATCCAGTTGGCAGCTAGTCACAAGTGGTGTTCCCCAGGGCTCAGGTATTGGGGCCAGTTCTCTTTAATATCTTTACCAATGACCTGGAGGAGGGGATTGAGTGCACCCTCAGTAAGTTTGCAGACAACTCATGGTTCTTCAGAGTAAAGCAAACAAGACCATTTGTTCACATATTTTGGAACAAACTGGTTTTCAAAAACTTGTTTCTTCCATGATTTTCCTACTTTAATTTTTATATTTGTTTAGAGGTAAGAAAAACCTTTTCATTTCTCAAACACCAGCTTTTTTACTTCTTTTAAGAGAGCAAAAGTTGTTTCCAGCACTCCTCTAAGCAAGGACTCACATCTGCTAGTCTGCAGGGAAAGCCAGCTGAGGCATCAAAAGTATTGAAGTTAGTGAATTTAATCCTTCTGATACAATCAGTCTGCAATGAGATCTGATTAAATTTAAATACTCAAAACTGAAGTCCAGTACTTCAGGTTCAGAGATAAGTAGACACATAGTATGTTAAAGCAGTGTGCTATGGGCTTAGAGTCCACAGTTCAGGTTAAGATTTCTAAAGAACGCAAATCAGGTGGACTGATTGAAGACAGCATTAAAAAAATCATCTGGGAAAAAAAAAACATGTACATGAAAAAATAACGGTGAGACAATCTTCTCAGTGTAAAATAATTAGTGAAATGTGTGGCATATAAAATAAATTTCTGCATATATACCCATACTGCCACCATCAGCCTCACTTTCTCATTTATTTAGGTGAACCTGTAATTGGCAAACAGGCACTTACTCATGGACAACAGTGGAGGTGCTGAGCTGCTGGAGACTTTGACACTGCTGCAAAATACAGTATGTGTTCATATGTGTTTGTGCAATGGACACTTGCTGTGCAATATTATCTTGTCTCTACAGATAAATCAGCTGCATCATGCTCCTGCCAGCTTGATTTGTTTAGCATTTACGGAGTACAGAGTACACGAAGTTTCCTGTGATTAGATCTCACATAAAAGGTAAGCCTCAGAGTTTATTCTACACTATGCTATACATCCACCAAGGCAGCTAGAGCATTTCCTGACTTGATGTTGAAAAGCAGGCTATAAAATATACTGAGGAAATCTTGAAACGTCACTCACTTGACATAGCAATAAGAGCCCTGCATTAAGATGCAGAGCTGATTTCCCTGATCCATGAAATTGCCTGGATATTTAAGGCGTTTCTCAAATAGAACTAGCATGAAACTCACCCTCCATTCCTGGCACAAGGACACCGTGGGTTTTGTGTTCTCCAAGAAAAATAGAGGTAAAAATTGCAGAGATAAATATTCTTTAAGAGAGGAACTAAACACAATTTCCTTCCTTTCTCCAGTAAGAAGAAATAAGTATTCAAAATGTCTTTAATGCTGGAAGATGGTTGTGCTTGCTGACACACTGCTCAGAGACGCTCAGGTTCTCTGCTGTGACTCGGTGCAAGAACTTCTTATAACAAAACACAAATTGTGCAAGTCTGTGACCACCTTTGGAGAGGCACATTTGTCCCTTTCATAAATAGGTGACAGAGTTGGAATAGGCACAAATCTGTGGACAGCTATGAAAAAGGTTATAAAGCAATATATTGTATTATTTTATGGTCTGAGACCTGGGACATGGTTCAGAATTCCTCAGCAAATGTGTATTTCCAGCTGCTAAAGGGTAAGAAAAGATCCATCTACACTTCCAAAGTATTGGTGAGCTGAGGGTAGGTATAATTTCTTCCAAAGACCCATCCAATGCAAACACACAGACTGCAGTAATGAGGGAATTTGAAAGGACCATAAGCTTCCCTAGAATGCTGTCCCACAGGCTCTGCTAGCTTAGATTCAAAGGAGGACAGTATCCACAAGGACCAGAGTACAGCAATAATGGAGCTACACATTAGATTATAAACAGCTTCCCATTAGGTAACTAGGAAAGTTTTAGTCCAAGAGGCACCACTAAGGTATCCTGATGTTGCAGTACTTGGTACATCTGACTGAAACAGGTTTCACACCAGCACAATGAACATATAACATTGGCAGACAATCTTATCGATTTCTATCCAAAAAATCACAGTTAAAGGGTAATCTCCTTTAAACTTGGTGAGTGCATTGCACACATAATTTTCGGTATCTCCATAGCAAAGACAGACCTGAGACTCATACTCAAACTGAGGTCCAAGTTTTTTCTTAGACATGGATTACAATTCCTTCTTGTTGACAAAGAGAGAATTTCCTTATCTTTTTCAGATGAAATTTCTCAGTCAGTTTTTGTCTTCAGCTAGGCTGATAGCGCTTTCCATTTTGTAGTAAACCTTTGTACTGACCAGTGCAATAGCCAGTACTCATCCCCTGTTTCCTGTAATTCTATTCCTGCATAGCATGTACAGTAGCCTATATTTATACAGATATACAAAATTATACAAAATACAAATGGAGTCTTGAAGCCATCTGGTATGTGACCCCATTCAAAGCAATATGAGCTACACCTAATTAGCTCCTGACATACGCTTGCCTACCCTATTGAAACAAAGACTCCACAAACTCCCTTAGATAGTTATTGTGATGCTTTGCTATTCTTACTATTAGAATGTTTTTCTAATGTTTAGTCTGTTCCAGAAATTTTAATTAAAAGTTCCCTTAGAGGACTACTGGATTACTGTGCATTCTTACACATGAAGAAAAACACATACAGGAACACATGACACATTGAATTTAAAGTTCATAAATTATTTGTAGATCATATAGGTGTTTTTTCAAACTTTCTAATTCAAAAGTTTAAATGGAACTGGCTATTTATGTATCCACCCTATCGTTCACTTTAAAGAAAATCTTGATCATTCTAATTTCTTCCCCAATTCAAGTTTTGAAAGCTCTAAGTTCTCTGAAGGAAATAGTTGTTGGCATTTTTGGATGATAAACATCCCAAAGTGATGATGATAAATTACAGTGTTACCCAATGATGCAGAAAAGTAGAGAAATGCAAACTGCTAACCTCTGATTTATGAATACATACTCTTCATTATGGAGTCTAGGGGTTCACAGCTGTAAGAGCAGGTCATTTTCATCTCATTGCTTATTAAAAGTATGAGAAGGAAGCACGAAGGGTGGCTACCATTTTGCAATGTACTGGATAGGTTAACGCTTAATGTTCTTTGTCTCCAGTACAAATACAAAAAGATACAGAATCCCTTGCCTTTTTAAGGCCTATACAAGCATTTGTTACTGTTCACAATCACAGAAGATAAGAATTTTTACATCTAGTTTTGCTCATTCATACTAGCAAATTTTCTCACATTTTAGTATAATCATTCCTATAAACCCTTTATTTACACAGAAAAAAACCTTTGTCCCTGATACTAAAAGAAATCCTGTGATCCGCTTGTTAAAACATGTTGATGTTAATGACAAAATTTACTTCGGAATGAATTTAAACTGAGACTTTCCCCTATCAACAGGCATTCCCAGTGAAAGCCCCTCAATGCACTCTAAGTCACAAGCTGAGGAATCTGTTTTGTGGCAGTACTAGAGTAAATTGTGTCACATTCTTTCACCACTCCTCAGCTTCCCAAAGCTTGAGGGTTTTCTAAGTTCTTCTCTCTCCCTATTACCTCTCTGCTAAATATTCAAAGCAGACAACAAAAAGGAGTAGGAAAAATAAGGTCATACAGCAAATTGGAAAGAAGTAAAATGTTTCTATATGCCATCACTTGGTTGTTACAGTTATCTTAATCAACCCAAACAGCTTCTTTGAGGCATCTAATCTGATTTTACAAAGTGCTAACCCATAGCCATATTTGACTTTCCTTTGATTCCAAATGTAAAAAATAGCCTTTATCTAATGTTCAGGCATATAATCTAACTACACATGCATTTGCATTTGCATTACGAGGCAGTGAAACATGGCTGGAGAGCCATCTTGGATGTTATCTATGTTATTACTCAAGTGGAGAGTATAATCATAAATCCTTCTCTTCCCTTCCACCCCCCGCCTTTTTTTCAGAAGTACACTTAAAATCTGTTTTTAAGCTTCACTGGCTCCATTACATTTGAACCTCAGTAACAAGAATGTGATATGAATATGTAGAGAGAAAGCATAGACAAAAGGTATATTTTCATAATGTGGTTCAGTTTAACTGTTCCTATAATTAGCTACAACTCATTAGGCAATAAAAAGACAAACAAAGAGATTATGAATGGAAGGGCAATATTTTCTCCATAAAACAAACAAAAAACTTAAACAGATGCCTCTTTTCTAAGGCTTTCCTTGCATAAATACACCCAGCAGCTTAGAAAAGATATTTTCATGATTGAATTTTTTTTGTCTAGAAAGAAAACCTGTAAACATTATCCTGTGCAATTTCAATAAAAAGTATTTACAGCTAATGTACACTTCGGATTTTTTGATCTCAAGGATAAAATAACAATACAGTAATGGTCTGCAGATGACTAGCTTTGATCTTTTGTTAGTTCTTATAATTGTCTCTGAATTTGTATTCTGCATAATAAGCACTCACCTTCACTGTTTGTCCAGCTTCAGGGCCATCCTGTAAGCAAAGGGAGAAGTCTCAGTTTAGAGCAACTAACAAGGATCGCACTAGGATTCAGAAATCTTACTCAATAATCATTTACATCCAATTTTACTGTATGTTAATTTAGCATATTTTCCTGTGGATCATTCAACACAAAGTTTTTGGACAAGGTGTCTTTCAATATCAGGCCATGGCAGAGTGAGAAACTGTATCTTAGATCACAAAAACAACAGGTGCTATTTTTCGTTCTTTCAGATCATATTTTTTAATAGTTAGCAATAGATTTCTGATCCTTGTCAATATAAAATCAGACACGTAAGTGGGAATTTAATCAAAGCATGCTTGCTTAAATTCTTGTTCTAATGAAATGTGCTTAGTCTCCTGATTTGCTTTAAACAGGGCTCTTTTTTGGTATAAAAACACTCAGCACAAATAACTGAAAGGTCAGAATTGATAACGTATTTACATGGCTACACCTCTCTGCCTGCATATAAATAGCTGTGAGCAGGAATTACCCGTTTCCATCAGGTTACCGTCTGAACAGAGAGATGTGGCAGCCTTCTCTAAGTCAATCCTGCAAATTCTTCTTTGAAGGAAGAGTACTTGCTGAAATACCCATGAGCAAGCACTGCATTTGGGAGCGTTCGCAGTCTTATTCCAAAGTTTTGCAGTTATTAACTATCCACCCTTTCCTGATGGTTTGCCTCAGGTTTTTTTCAATGGCAAATCTGGCAGACTGCAATGCAGTTGTTATGCTTTTTTTTATTATTATTATTTTGCATTTATTGCCCCCTTGAAGTTTGAATGTTCTTTTGTCATTGGACTAGGGAAGAAGGTTGAAAGCTTGATAAAACAAATCATTAAACCTTTTTTAGTCGACTGGTTTACAAACCTGAATAGAAATGGTGAGTGAGGTGCCGCAGAAGTGTTTCTCCACCACATTACCAACCCTTTGTGCCGTACGAAATAAATCGGCCACTTCCTCAGGACACAGGTCACGGAAACGCTCCACTGGCCGTAGAGGACAAACAAGGACATCTGAAGGTAGTATTGTCAAGGCACAAACACAAGTCTGAGTGGTCCAGAAGGACAAGCGGCTCTATCCCTCACTTGTAACCTGCTTCTGATCACTTTTGAATTGCCTGAATTCCCCCTCTCCAAGGATTACCACAAGAGCAATTAAAACATAAGGCTAAATACAGGGAATTACATGATGTTTTGTTCAGAAGTTTTCTCAAACCCCTCAGACAGGGGTAAAAGGACTAAAATAAGGTCCATATGTTACTACTGAGACATCTAAAGGAAAGTAAAGTTTTCGCAGACTCGAAGTTACCATTTTGATGGAGAGATGTTCACATTTAACACCTCTGAAAGTCAGAGACATTTCCTTTTGTGATTAAAAATGGGGTAAAGCCAAAGGAATTTAAGATGGGTTTGGGTGTGTGGTCTGAGACAGTGGTTTTACAATGTTTTTTCACATACACGGCATATATTTTTTAAAAATCTTGATCTTACACCTCTAATTTTAGGTAACTAAATCTGAAAAAGCTGACACTATGCAGATCACTTATTTCTACATCATATTAATTACCATTCACAAGGAATGCTCACCTGTTATAAATATGATATGTTTTTAGAAACACATTAAGATAATTAAGACTATTCCCTTTTAAGCACGGTGTTCACAATGCTACAAATACACATTGATTTTATTCTACCTTGGTGACTGCGCTTCATAAGTCAGTGAAATGAATCTATAAAGTAAACAACGGAAGTAACACAGACGTTATTCACACTCACCTGATCTGTTGCATTCACAGAAATTAATAATTGCTATGATTCCTCACTTGAAAGTCAATTTTGTAACATTATTAATAGAGTCCAGAATTCTTAGCAGAGCCTCAGTTGTGTAAATCCAACAAGCAAGTACTTGGGATTTGATTCTCATTTCAATTCCCTGCAGACAGGATTTCTTTTCTGACTTACAGTACTGTGTTTGCCAAATAAAGAACTTAAAACCACCTTTAACATTACTCGAACTTTTATGGGCAAAGGCTATGAAAATTAAAATCTTCTTATTTTTTCAGTATTAAAACAAGTGTTCAAAGGATTATTTGAAGAAAACTAAGTTATATGCCATTGTAGTACAGTCATTTTTATTTTTACTGCATCTTGATGCCTGCAGGTATTCAGGAATATTCTCTATACTCCAAGAAATGTAACTAGGAGATGCTCTGTAGCTAACAGGTTCACACAAAGGTTACATCAACCTGATTTTCAAGAACTGCATGAGACGTTTGAAATAAAGAAGGATTAATACATGTGAAAGATAATTTATTTCCACAAACACAGAAACAACTTTTTTACATTCACCAAGTTTATCATAGGAAGCACACTTATAATTCTGATTGGAGGGAAAACCAGATATATTCTGGAAGTAAAGAAGTAGGGGCAGGTTTTCATCATTTTTCAGAGTCCAGATGAAGACTGACAAGATTGCAATGGGTATTTGCTAAAGCATGAGCAGATTTTTTGAGAGCTTCACAGCTAGCAGCTCCCAACAGAACAGGAGAAGAGTGGCCCCAGCTGCGGGTGTTAATCTGCTTTGAAAATCTGTCCCTCATTTTTTTTTAGTACAGCATTAGCTATGCCACCACTATTCTCTTTTTTCTCTTGTTATAACTTATGGTGCTAAAATTTAAGAAAGGAGAAATTTGTATTTACAAAGCAGGTACTTGGAAATAAACCAATCCTGGATGGGGACAAAAAGCCTACTTTGTGGGGTTTTAGTTCTAAAATGCTGTGCCTCTTGGCAAGCTACTGGGCATAATAAAGCTCCTGTAATTTATTTGTGCCTTCCCAGCACACTGTACAAAGCACCTCCATAAAGGATGCTGTTGGCGGAACTCAGGGCCCAAGGGAAGAGCTGGAAACTTGCTTGGCAGACCTGATTTCCATACCAGGAATAAAGGAATAGAAAAACTAATTAATTTTACTCATAAAAAGGAAATCCATGTCAACAGTAAAACAGGAAAAAGGACATTCGTTTAATCTGAGTTCATTTTTCAAAAGGAGAGAAGGGAAGCTTTTACCCTTAGGGCATCTGATACTTAAGTAGATAATTATCCTTCTTCTGCAGCTCTGCTTTATTATCATGAGTCAACGAACCATTTATAAATGAAGAATTTCCCCTCACTTACCTCTAGCAAAACTGCTGCTTACATTAAGACAAGTTTCCTTTCCTTCTTTAGAATTTTTTCCCAGCAGTTTCTCGCCCTCTCAGACTCACACACACCTCAACAGCAATTGTTTGTTCTCTGCCTAGCTCAGGGCCACAGCCACAAGTATGAATTTTTGCATTAATCATGGTTTCTACAAACTTACATTAACTCTGCACTACTTGTCACTGTGATGCACTGTGAAAAACATGGGCTAAACACTGCTTGTGAGAGCTTTTGTTTCCATAGCACGTAGCAGAGGGAGAACAGTGTGCAGCGTAAATGCTGGTTGTACCAAGGCAGGACATCTGTTTTCTCTTCTTAAATGTGTCACTAATCCACTCTGTCATTTGGGCAAGTTGTCTCTGTACCTCTCTCTCTCTCCCCTCTTCCACACTTCATCTGTCTTATCTGCTTAGATAGCATTTGCCACTTGGTGCAATGGATGTTTTCTTATTAAGCCATGAGGCTCTCCACTCATGTGGGGCCACGAAGAGCTCCCACAATATCAAACGATGTACCCATAAACCATGTCCTTCAGCAAAAAGGATTTTCACTTCCTCCTTACGTTACCAAGACTCATTTACAACTCAAACTAGATTTTAACCATCTTTCTGTCTTTGAATGTGATAAATAATTCAAAGGCACAATCACGCACTGGAGCATCTTTACTGAACTTTCCATCATTTCAAAATAATTCTCCAAAGAATAATGATAGAAATTCTGAATCAGAGCTAAATTAACATGAGAATGTAATTAGGACAACATTCAAGTTATATTTAACTATGAATATATAAAAAGGCAAATGTTAGAATGAATTCATGGATTTGAGGTCATTAAGAAAACAACCATCCACTGCAACTTTAAATCATCGTTTTTAACTACAGTTTTTAAAACTAGGATAGTTTTTAACTTTATATCCTGGTCAGATTTTAATCTGGATAAATGTTCTAGTAATCTCAAAATTCTTCCTAAATTTAACATTGGATAAACTGTTCATTGCTTTATGCAATTATCCACTGCAAACACTGCTATGAACTACTGATGTGCTTCAGGTGACTGCGTACTAAAGATGCAAGTGAAAGTGAGTCTGTACTTATGTCTACATGCAATTACTCCTTAGACCGAAGCACCTACTGCCATCTGAGATGCCTCAGGGCATCCAGCTGCCACTCCAGAAGAGTGGGAGTCTCCCATATGCCCCGTGTCATATCTGTCAGCTAGGTGGGAAGCCCGAGTTACCTTAGGGTACGTGAAATGGCAGTAGGTGCCTATGTATGGGCAACAGCCCCCACCTTTACAGAGCGGCTCAGCAGGACAAGTGGCTGATACCCAGCAGATGTGCTACATGACTGAAGACAGCACTCTGCCTTCAGAAAGTTTGAACTTTGTTTCCTTTCTCTAACCACCATAATTAATAATTTTGTGATTTCTCCATTCATTCTAAACTGCTACTGACTGATGAAGTTTCTATTTTTAAGCTTTGATGTGCACAGCTGTTATTTTCTTCAGATTCTCTGAGTCAGTCCACATCATTAGAGTATGTGCAATTTAATATGTCAACTTCTCCATTTTAAGAAGTGGAAAACCTTTACACCTTATTATAATCTGTGATCGGACATTACTCTCTCTAGATCTTGCAGAAATCTCTCAAGAGCCTTACTTTTTTCCTAATACCTAAATACACATACACAAATCAATATGCATACCCTCAGACACACTAAAAGCTCCATTAAAGATTTATTAAACAATTAGGAATGTCAGTACTTTCCAAAGACTACCAGTACCTACACTGAAACTCCAGGTATATTAGTGAAGTGCATAACCATAAAGTAGCAGTAAAGCAACAGTGGATCAGACCTGTTACCTTCAAAACTGAGCTAAAACCTAAGGATGACCTATGATTTCAACAAAATCACTTGGCCTTATATATTGGGCAGCGCAACCCATTCCCTGCACTACCTTGGATGGGCTGTTTAATGCACCAAAGCCTGTGAGCCTCCTCCATAATTCAAATTAACAGCCTTTACCTGTTGGTCTGTTAAGACTGTAACCTGTTTGCAAAAGCTCAGACTCGTGGCGAAGCAAGCATGGCTCAGCCAGTTTCTACACACCAGCGGAGCAAGGATGCTGAAACCACGTGCCAGCTCTCAGCGGTCAAACTTGCACACATTTCTGTAAATCTCTTTCATTGACTTTTTAGACCGTAATAACTGGAGCCCTTTGAGACTGGCAGAGGCCTTTACTGCAACGTGATTCTGCAATGGGCACATGGACACTGTCAAAGCTATGTTCAATTGTGCCAAGCACAAGTACAAATTCCCTATGTACACCTAAGTATTTAAGGATATGCTCACACTGGAGATTATGGGTCACTACTGAAAAGCGAGCATTTGTTAACTCCATAACGACTTTAAGTTGATCAAACAGAGAGGGCCCAGGTTTTACAAGAAAAGCAAAACACATGGCCAACACCCGCATGCTGACCACTTCAAATGCAATCTTCCTTCCACTAACACACAGGGTGGAGGCTGAAATTGAAAGGCACAGTAGCAATTTTTATTTGCTTTATCTGAATTTTTACTTTGAAGCCTAAATTATTGTAATTCTGTATTTAAGGTCTAAGCCAGGCTTCGTGTTCCCTTTAATGGGATTCTGATCAACCCCACAAAGTGCCCATTATAAATTTTCACACACAACTATTAAGGTACACATGTTCTGTAGTTCTGAAATGTTGGAAAATGGCCTTTGGGGGGGTGAAAAAAAGAAAGAAAACTAAAAAAAGAAAACCCAAAGAGGTTAAAAATCCTGTAATGTGAC